TGTAAAAAATATTGAAATGGTAAATGTTTTTAGATATATACTTCACACAATAAAAAATGGTTGAAATGGCAAACGGTTTGTTATAGATATTCCCAGAAAAAAAAAAAAAAAAAGAGAGAGAGAGAGAGACAGAGAATTGAAATTACAGGTACCATCTTATCTTTTACATGATGCTGATATCTGGCAGGATAACTGTGCAAAGTTCAACAATCTTGTTCCATGACTGGTTCATGAGTCCTGAGCCAGGTGTGCCAGAGCAGTGTTCTTGGGCTGACATATTGAAATAAGCCCTGGTCACCAGGGAGCCACAAGCTCTTGGGCATCTCTGGGTGGACAGGGTATTCTAGAGCTAATGTCTACCTGGGAGCCTAACTGAGAAGGTTCCTGGGATGCAAGACCTTCAGTGCTAAAACTGGGAAGGTCCTGGGCAACCAGGACAACTCCGTCACCTATCTGGAGCACTCTGCCGCCACTCCACCCTGCACTGGGCACACCTTGTAATGCTCATGGCAGGGACCAATTAAACCCTCGGTCACAGGGAGAGATGTGCTGGCACTTCACTGCACGCACAGAGCTTTACAGTGAGAGCTTAACCTGCTGAGTCGGTGTGGCAAAACTGGTGGAATGGCAGGATGCTTTGTGATATGGTTTTGCCTGAATGCACCAGCCCAGAACAAAGTGGGCACAACCCTCTGAGATGGTGAGAAGATAGAAAACCAAGAAAGTTTTAAGGCTCTGTCCCAGTCTGTCATCCCTGTATAAGAGAAAAGAGAAGATCTGCACTTGCCTTTGGTTCCAACATGTTGGGCATGGACACTCCTCGGTCCATCCGCATTCCAGGCATGTGGCCATCCGGGAGGGTCTGCGACAGAAATACCGGTCAGGAGGCACACAGAACAGCATGGGGAACTGAGAAGAGAACCCTGTGGGCTCCCAAACATCTCTGTTTGGGTCTCTAATCCTCACCACCATTTATTTCATAGACATGCCATCTTGATTACCACATATTTTTCAAAATGAGATTTATTGCTGAATAAGAGCAGGAATACTGCTCTTTCATATTTAAGTTGGGGAGAGAGCCTGGCTTAATAGCTATATTGACTTGTTTCTGAATGTAGGCTCTATGTATCAAAGTATATGGTACATCAAAAATTTTGCCAGGTCTATTATTACTTTCTTATTTTTATCTTGCTTTTCTTTGCACGTTTCCCTTTTCTCAAGTCTCCATCACAGTTTTACAAGGTTTAGGCTCTAGGAAGAAAGCAATGGTACCAGAGCAAACTGCTCATTTCTACTGTCCACAACATGAGTTTTTCTTCATTTGGGACCAGGCAAGGGAGGGGAGGACCTAAAGTACTGAGCAGTTATAACTAAAAGAAAACAACAACAAAACTATACACGGGCAGACTCTTGATGCTGGTCTACTTCTACTCGCAAACGATTACCAAAGGCCAGAGCAAGGAAGTCCTCCAACACCTGGCCTGGTTTACACCCTGTCCCCAAGGTCTGCAGGGACAACTTGAGCCAAGTACCAGGCCTGCCTGCTCCTCATGGCTATGGACATAGGATTAGATGAATCAACCAAAATAAGCATCTTCTCAAAAGAAACCCTTCCCCAGAGCAACAATACACATCTGGATGGAAAGATGGTTGTTCTGCTGGTGTGGGCAACTCAAGAAAGGCCAATTGTTCCATACCTGGTAGTCTGAAAAAGAAAGGAAAAGAAAATATCATAAGGCCAAGACCATAGAAGATCATGGAAACCTTAACAGAAAAACTAGCTTCTATTGCAGTTTCCAAAATATTCCCCCAATGAATCATGTTCTCTTCCTGCTCCAGGTATCTAAACACACTGTCCCATCTACCTCCCTAAAGCCTGCTCCATTTTTAGTCCTCAGTGAAATCATCCCTCTCTCCTGGAAGCTTTTCCTGATAACCTAAAGGTGACTCCTTCCTTCTCTCTGCATCTCCAGTCGTTGCATTTATCACACTAAGCTGCCACGGCCTCTTCAGGTGCACATGCTCCCACGCCTGCTCTCACTGTCTCTTGCACTAGGGCATACACATTATGAGGGTAAGGGCCATGTCTTGTTGATGGCTGGCTGTATCTCCAGGTACCTAGTATAGTGCTCAACACGTAGTAGGAGCAAAATATACTTCTTACAAATTCTCTTTTCATGGTTTTATTTCATCAGAGATCCCTTGAGATTTTACTAAGTGCTATATTAGCTCAGAGAGGCTACATGGGATGCATGACAGCATGAACACAGCCAATATACTTGTGATTACATAGCCTCTCATGGACCTCAGCCACGAGGGGAAGATGCAGCCAGCAGCAGTCAACGGCCTGGCTAGGGAAGCCTCACCTCGGACTCCACCACTGACGTCCCCGTAGCTGTTATACTGAGCAAACTCTGTGGAAACAGGCTGAAACAAGGAAGACACATTATTAGAAAGTTTACTCCACAGCAACCATTTTGGAGTCAGGTGAACGGGAATGGGATTTAATAGATCCTAAGAATTCTTTCCAAGTGAAATTCCTGGACCCTAGTTATTTTTCTTTCCTAAGGAGCCCTGGTGGTGCAAAGGTTAAGCATGCAGATGTTAACTGAAAGGTTGGCAGTTCATACCCACCCAGTGGCTCCTTGGGAGAAAGACCTGGCGATCTGCTTCCGTAAAGATTACAGCCTAGAAAACCCTATGGGGCAGTTCTACTCTGTCACATGGGGTCGCTATGAGTTGGAATTGACTTGATGGCATACAACAACAACAATTCTACTATCAAATCTCTGTCTTTTGTAGAACATCTAGTGCGACTGCACAGGAGATTTTTGGTAAGCAAGTACCTCCTGCTGATAAGTAAAAAAAATTCACTTCCCTACTTAGTTACACAATTGCATTTGTTCTACTTTTTGCAAGGAGGATGGTAACAAACATTCCTATTTCATTTTACAGCACAGATAATGATTCAAGTAATTCCCTTTTGCTTGATTGTAAATGTATTTGCTGCATAATTATTTGATCTAGTCTTCCTATAAGCTTACACAGGCTATTCTTTTGCCTACAGTCAATTTCTCTTTCTCTCAACTGAAATATTTTATCTTGCCTGTAACCTAACGTGATTTCACTAGGAGGTCAGGGAGATGATAATTTTCATTATATTCCAACATTTAAATCAAGAGTTAGATGTACTCAGACAATACATCAGTATTTTAAACGGGACTGGGGAGGGAATTAACACAGAAATAATTAACTGGAGCCACATATAATGGTCATTTGAGGATTAGAAGACTCTTACCCGGTGAAGCCCATTTTTGCCATAGCCCGGGAGAGATGAGGTTTTAGATGATGGCGCATGTGAAGCTGAATGACAAAAAAAGGGAAAAAGACCAACTGTTAGGAAACTGGAGGTCCAATTTTCCAATGTAAATTTGGCAATGTAAATTTACCATGCAAAAAGAAGTTTTAAAACAGATAATTTAAACAATATCAGGCAAGTGTTTCAAAAACATCGCCATATTTGTGTGACGTCGGGAACGGGTGACCAGTGATATTACTGAGGAGGGGTGGGGAGAGAAGTACAGACAGTCCAGCTGGGGCTGAAGCTACCTGTACTTCCTAAGATTCTAGAACGTATCTAAGTGCTCAGCATGCTTTATCTCTTTGACTCCTCATTGCATCCATAGTCACATAATTATTACCTTCGTTTTATAGAAGAGGAAATAGGGGTAAGAGATGTTAAGTATTTTGCCCGAGATCACTCAGCTAGCAAACAGCGGAGCAAGGATTTGAACCCAGGGATGTTTGAACGCAAAAGCCCATGCCCCAGTCAGTACGGCAGCAATAACTGACCTGGAAGCTAGCCATGTAAATGATCAAGATCTAGTGGGCAGTCGGACCCCTGGGAGGCCTAGGATAGAGTATCATATCTACCAATAGCCTGGATGCCTCTCAGGCAGCTGGGCTTTGGAGGCGCAGACCTGGCTTTGCATTCTAGCTCTGCAATTTAACGCCTCTGTATCTTTAGGATAAGTCTTCATGTCTTTATCTATATAGGCAAAGTGCTGTATCCTTTTATAGAACAGAATCTGGGAATTAGAAGGAACTCTAAGATTAATCTGAAGATTAAATAACCTAATCTACGATCAACACCAATGAGGTACTTATGAGAGGTAGGAGGGTATTCTATTAAGAGCGTGGGCTCTGGAGTTTGAATACCTGGACTCCTAAATCCTAGTTTTGCTAACTATCAGTTACGTGACATTGGGTAAGTTACTTAAACTTGTTATGCTTCAGTTTCCTTATTTATAAAATGGGGACAGTAATAATAGTATCTACTTCACTGGCATGTTGTGAAGATTAAATAAAATAATATTTAGTACTTGCATATAGTAAATACTAATAAAATTTTAAAAAGGTATCCACTGGACAGAAAATCATGCTGCTGATTCGGAACGTGAGAAAAGATCTTGTGGGTTAAGACAGAATTCACTTATGACAAATATAAACAGGTCAAAATATACTGATAGACTATTTCAGATCTAGTGGATCAGTAATCTGCTTCAAAAGTGTCAAGAACAACACCGTTAGTCCTCAGATCTTGCATGGAATATATCAAAGTCACAATGCTTAGAAGATATCTTGCTTATTCTCCCTCCAGTCAAAAAAGCACCCAGTTCTCTATAAAGATCTCCTTTTTGCTGCTTCCCTCTGAGATGATTATTTTAGAAGGTAGCCCTAGCACATGGGGACAGACTTCTCCATGTTCTTGAGATCCTCATGGACTCCCTATTTCCAGCAGGAAGGAAACACACATAAGGAAGAACCACGACATGCTCATAAGCTGATATGAAGTGGGCTTCCCAGGCTCCCCTTCCTGTAGACCACTCGGTGGGTGCCAGCAGAAATGATCTTGCCTCTCCTGGGACAGTCAGCATAGGCTCCTTGCACGTGGGAGGCCAGCTCTCGGCTGGGGGAAGGTGGTGGGTCTGCTGCTTACCTGAGTTGATGGGAGAATCATAGCGACTGGCTGAGAGAGATGCTCTTTCCCGGCTCTCCTTCTCCATCTCTTCTTTCAGTATCAACTGCCCCAGGCCTGAGTTGAGCTAGTCACGGGGGCGGGGGGAAGAAAGTGAATCCTGCAATTACTTTCATGGAAGTACAGTTTCTTTTTAGAAGATCTTGCAAGAAGTAAGTGGCTGTGGAGGGGCCTGGAGGCCTGTGGTCCCCACGGCCTGGGGGTTCCTCAAGAGGTAGGGCAGGTTTTAGACCCTGAACTCCTCTTAGCCTTTTCAATTTCAAGGCTCTATTTCCCTAAGCCAAGCTGTCAGAAGAATATTCTTCCTCCTTTTCCCTCCCCCAAACTGCTAGCAGGTGACCTCAGGACTATGTGTGAATGTGTGTGAATTTCTGATGGGTGGCGGGGGAGGGGTGGGGACGGTAGGTTTTAAAAAGAAGTTGCATTGATTTGTTTAAAAACAAAAGAAAAAGTAATACATGCTCACTGGACAGATTTTGGAAACTACAGAAGAGTAACCCATCATCTACCACTCAGAGATAAGCACCATGCAGTATTTTTCTACGCACATACTATATAAAACTGGGATATTATAAATGTAACTATGTATCCTTTCTCCATGTAACTAACATCATGTGCATTTCCCTATGTAATTAAGTATCTTTGGAAAATATCATTTCAAGGACTTCATCAGCCCTTTAGTGGTGGGAGAGTTTATAATTTACCTGGCTCCCTCCACTCCATGGTATAATTGGCTATCCCTCTTTTGGTCTTCCGGGATTCTGTAGGTCCCATGCTAGAGATGGAAAGGTATGATGAGGGTGTCTTAGGGACAGTCCCCCTTCTCCCTTTCCTCCTGGCTCAGAAGTACATACAAGGCCCCCTATTCCTGGGAAAGACTTGGAGAAATGCTCAGTCCCAAGGAGATCCCCGCAGCAGAGCGGGACTCTAGAGGAAGGAAAGAAATGTTGCCTCTCTCATCCAAGCTGTAGATGACCTTCGCTCTACCGGGCCATTAAGCATCCTTTCAACACATACACCTACGCGCAAGAACACGCACGCACACGCACGCAGGCACACACACACCACCCAGTCTCACTCTTCTTGCAGAAGTCCAAATATTCCATGTCCCTTTGGTTTCCGGCCTCAATGTCATCTCCAGAACTCCCTGTGTACTGTCCTATTATAGTTACTAGATGTTTATCTTGTCTCCCCTACCAAACTGCAAGCCCCTTGAGGACTAGGGCCACCTCTTGCTCATCTTGGTGACTTGCACATGGTAGTCATTCAAAAAATACAAATTGAATGGAACTGAATGGAAGACAGCAGCAAGGTAGTTTAAGGACAAACCTTCATTAACTGCTCTTCTTGAAGCTGCCGGCGTCTCAGAAGTTCCTCCTCATCTTCCTCTCTGCCACTAGATCTGCGTCTCATATCAGTTCCTAATTCCACAGCAAAGACAACTTCTCACATCAGCCCCATGACAAGGGAATCTTAACGGACTAGTCCATCTGTGGTCAATTTGTTAGGCTGGCCAAGTCAGCAATGGTCTTAAACATTTTACAGTGCACAAAACAAGGGAAAAAAGTGCTCACCACCTATTCAGCATGGCTGGCTGGTTTCTAGAGAGAAGGAGCCCAGTGTGACAAGCCCGTTCAATGTGTGAAGCCAAGTGAGGCACAGATTGTGGCCTCACAGCCATTGGCCTGCTCAGTTAGAACTCGGATTGCTTTTGTGACTGACTGGGTCGAAGTCATCACACGAACCACTGGTCAGAGCTCACTGTAGGGGTATCTACAGTTATTATTTTATGTCCCTGGGGTCAATTTTCAAAAAGTGAGGAATCCAAATTCATCTACCTGCCATCAAACAGGTATGAGGGTCACTCTCCTGTGACAAGTTTTAAAGTCGTGTTGTTTTTACTTTTTTTGAATATTGAGGCTCGCCATAATACCATCACCCTGTCTTTTACCCTTACTACATTCATTAACAAACACGTCTTTTGTTTTTTTTTTAAGGGATGAGTCTCTAACGTTTCCATTTTCTCAGTTCTTACAAATGGCCCTGAAGGAATTTTATATTAACAGTTAAAAGTATTAATACAGCTTAAAAGTTATTTAGTTGGGCAAAATATAGCAAATCATGTAGTTTTTGAGCTTCCTGGAAAAGGGGCACCAGGCAGGGGAAAGAAGGAATCTGTCTGAATAGCTGGAAGAATTAGGATAAATTTTTTCCCCCGAAACTGGCTGGATTAAGCTGGCTGTGTGAGAGAAGAGGAAAGCTTGCTAATCTAATCAAAATAAACTTCAACTGATAGTCTTAGTTTTAATCATTTTGATGAATGGGTCCACAATTTTCCACATATCACAACCCAGAAGAGCTTAAACTATTTAGATGTAATGGTTTTAACAACAAAATCTGTATTCTCCCTCTCCCTGCCCAAGCTCCCCAAAAGTTCAGTTGCTTTATTCTCTCTGCTAAGCAACATGGCTGACACAAGACTCTCAGGGGCCTCAGGAGCTTCCTGAAGGGCATGGACTGGTGGAGAAAAAGCCAACCGCTTGCTCTGTTCTAAAAATCATAAATGTCAACGTGAATTTTCCCTCTTTAGCCCACACCAATAAAAATTCATAGATACAAGTTGGCAAGGATTAGATAAATCTCAAGTCAACATAAATCTATAGACTACTCGTGAATAATGAACTGAGCTGGTGGGTTTTCCTTTAAGTCTTTCTACCAATTTAAATTGCTTCCAAATCTACTTAAATTGCTTACAAAGGTATTCAAAAAATAACTTGGTAAAAAATAGCATGATGAAGAAAAATGGGAAATTTTGGAAAATTGAAGGCCTTTTAGGTTGTCAACAGAAATGGAATAAGACAGTCCTATTTTTGTAAGGCTGACTCACAAATTTTCAGTATTAGCCCGTGTTTGCTAATATCTCTTTTTTAGGCCACGTGATGTTGTTACTGACAAAACAGTGAACACAGACATAACTGTAAAGCATAAATCTGTGGATCAAAGCGAAGAATGAAATAGTTCAAGTGTGACATTACAGCACAGAATTTATGGAAATGATAGACATAAAATCACGCAACTTCACACAAGTAATATTTCTGAACACTTACTACTCTGTGATAGCCCTTCTGAGTAGCCAAGAACGTGATCTTGCAAGAAAAGTGCAAGTGCTTAAATGTTAAGACTGGTTGTTAAGAGAAATATAACTAAAACCCAGTAACAGTCTAAAACAAATTTCACTGAAAGCAGTCACGCTTTTAAGGACACTCAGTAAAGTCACCCACCAGACTCTGATTATACAGAACAATGTTCTTGCTCTGAGGTCTTCATCCACACGTGTTAAAAAGAGTTACTGGTTTTGCAGTCATACATTTGAGAGTTGCTGCCAACCAGCCGTTTGAGACTATTTCTGCGCCTCAGCGGGTTTGGTTAGATCAAGGTCTCTGCCAGTGCATTTTTGTAACTTTTAAGCATTTTCCACACAAATTAATACCACATTTGTTTTTCCCCCACTATTCTACCTCTTGACTATACTTTTTTAAAAAAATCCTTTTTTTTTTGTTTTTTTAAAATAGGACACATTTTCTTGCACATTTTAAGAATTTCATTTTGAGACCCCCTAGAAATTTGTCCGTTTGACTTAGCTGTAATGGTTGCATACCTATGGTGGCAACTGAGGGGGGACCAGGCCAGAGGTCCGTCTCAATCTTTGGTATTTCGTTGTGATCTGGAGCCTGGGCTGCTGGGAACTTGGAAAACTTGATGATGTCTTCTGAAGACTTGCTCTGGGCTGCCAGGGCAGCTGCATCTAGGTGGGAATCAGGGGAGCTTAGCTAGGGTCTGCAAGGCGGGCAAGGGGGGCGGGGGGTCCAGCCCCGCTTATATGGATTTCTGTTGTTGTTCTCTGGCAACATTTCAAGTCTAGAAGGCTCGCTTATCACCGTTGTTAACTGCCCAGTTGTTCAGTGGTGGCCAGTGACAACTCAGCTCCTTTTCCTTACTTTCAGCCAGAAGCAAAGCTCCATTCCACATCTGTTCTACATCAAAAAAACCTTGTTCTCCAGCTGTGCTGTCCAATGCTGGCTACATGTGGCTATTTAAATTTAAATCCATTCAAATTAAATAAAATTATAAATTTAGTTCCTCAGCTACACTAGCTACATTTCAAATGCTCAGTAGCCACAGCTGATTTAGCGGCTCATTGTATTGGACAGTGCAGTTACAGAACAATTCCATCATCACAGAAAGCTCTGCTGGCTAATACTCCTCTAGAGGAATTAGAAATTTAAATTAGTAATTTGAAATTAAAAGCATAACACTGTTACTTGGTTGTATTTGTTAATTATCAGAGGGCTGGCTGGCTTTGTATCCTTGGGCAACAAGCCACAAATATACTGGTCCAGTTTATTTTCATTCTGACATACTGTATATATGCCCTTGAGTCCTAGGAGAAATAGGGACGGGAAAATCCACTTTCAGTTTGCAGAGAATTCAGCTTAGCACTGTGACGTGTTTGTCATGCCTACTAACTGTTTTGTTCAAGGGTCTGTAAGTAAAAGTAAGTCATCCAACTGTATGACACAAGCCAGACTACCAGCAACCATTAGTTAACAGAGTTCCTAATAGCTATCCTTACAGGGGCACTCACTGGCTTAGAGCCCAAATCTAATCACAGAAATTCACCAAAAAAACCCATACCTGTGGCCCTTGAGTCAATTCCGACTCATAATGACCCTATAGGACAGACTAGAACTGCCCCATAGGGTTTCCAAGGCTGTAAATGTTTATGGAAGCAGACTGCCACATCTTTCTCCCCCAGAGTGGCTGGTGGGTTTAAACTGCCAACCTTTTGTTTAGCAGCTGAGTGCTTAACCACTGCACCACCAGGGCTCATAATCACAGAGATGGAGCAACCCAAATCCGGTAAAATGGTCAGTCTTTCCCACTAACTTTGCAAACTGGCCTGGAATGCTACTAAACATTTCAAAATATAATGCTGTAAATAAAACTTCCCCATGGACTCAGATATTTTCACATTTTTTTTTTAATCTGGAAATAACTTTGACTCTTCAGCTCTAACTCACACATCCCTGGAGCAGCTCTCTGGGTCTCAGTTTACTTCAGTGACTTGATCAAGGTTAGGTCTTGGTCAGGCATGAAACAGTATTTCTCTGAACATTAATCTCATGAGAAAAAATTGCAGCTTGGAAAACACTGCATACTACATTTTAGCATATTAAAGACCAGGAAGTACTGCATTTTAAAAAAACATGTGACTTTACTTAAATCTAGCATTTCCTAAATACATGAGAGCATAGATACTTTTTTTTTTTTGGTGTAACTATTTCTATTGCATGGAACTGCTCTTCTGCAGAACGTCCTTTTGGAAGCACTGCTCTGGCTATTCTTAGTTAACTTATAACAGACTGAATGTAAAGACTTCAGTCAAAGGAAAAAGAAGCCAATTAGCTCCTTCCAAATAAATAATCTAACATTACCCAATCTCCATAAATCTTATTTGATCATTGTTGTTCAGAGAGGCAGGGCCTATAGATTTTAGTATAAAAAAGGAGTCTCTGAATTGATAAACCCAACTCTGGGAAGCTTATTCTTAATTTTGTTTTAAAAAAACAAAAAAGCATGACTTCAAACAGTACTTACGCATTAGAATTGGTGAAGTCAGTAGTTAGTTAAACATTCACATGTTAATGAGTGTGTGGGAAGACATTAAACCATAAAAAAAAAAAAAAAAAAACAATGTTAACAAACTTAAAAAGCAAGCACAGGGTGTAAAACCTTAAAAAAGAAAAGACCAAAAAAAAAAAAAAATCAAAAGATAGTTCTAGAACCACTACAATATACACTTTCTTCTTTTTCTCCCTAGAATTTTGGCCTAAAATTTTTTCCTTGTATATTTTCAATTTTGTTTGCTTTTTATGTCATACTAGTAAGTCTTAAGGACTAATTAATTTTCAACGAGGTTTGAAAGGCAGCCTTCAAATTTCCAGGCACAATTTGTGTATAATTTTCTGAAGTTACCCAAGCACTAGTCTTTGCTTTCTATCTATTCACAAAGATTTGTGGCAGATTGAGCCCCTTAGAGATCCAATACAGGTGGAGGAAAATGTGATTTACACAAAGTAATGTGATTTTCTGGGCTTCAAAATTCTATATTCCCCGAAAAGGAAAACACAATAATAAATCCATTTCAGTGATATTTGCTTGGCAGGAATTTCAGAGACGAGCTGGTCTAACTCACTGGTTTTTACCGATGAGAAAGCAGAGGCGCAGAGAGGTAGCATGCCTGTGATATCATAGAGCCATTTAGGAAAAGAGCTGTGACCAGGGCTAGTCTCTGGTCTCAGCTTGTGTCCCATCCACTCCAGTGCAGGATGCAGACAGCTACACGCCCTGCAAGGAGAACTGCGGAGCTGGATGGCCAAGGCGATGGAGACTTAGTCAAACTAATTTTCTAGGGGGCTGTCTTTCACTGGTTTTAACTAGTCAAACTAACTGCAATCTCTTCAAAATGACTATTGAGGTTGGATAAATTATTTGATGGCCAAAAAAAAAAAAAAAGACTTGTTAGGATGTTTGTGATTTGTTATATGAGCAATACTTCCCCTTCTCTATGATAAGAATGATACATGGTTTCATGGGCTCAGAAACAGGCCAGGAGATACCTAACTACACTAAGTGTTCTCCATCTAGAAAATTAATTTCATGATACTTGCATCTTAATCAAAAACCAAGCCCATTGCCGTTGAGTCGATTCTGACTCATAGTGACCCTGTAAGACAGAGGAGAACTGCCTCATGGGGTTTCCAAGGCTGTAAATATTTACGGAAACCGACTGCCACATCTTTCTTCCAAGAAGCAGCTGGTGGGTTCGAACCTCTGACCTTTCAGTTAGCAGCCAAGTGCTTGACCACTGCACCACTAGAGACCGTAAAAGCATAACCTGCCCCAGAATCAGTTTGTTTCTCAAAAGTAGCAGCAGTTAAGCCTTTCAGGGAACAGCAAAGACATGGAGTTCAGCGGACTCTGCTACTAAAAGCTACGCGGAGGGGAGCGGGTTTTACCATGCTGTTTGTAGATGGGTGGTTTTCGGTAAATGTTGATCCCTTGATCTGTGGAAATGAAAAGCAAAGGTGTGTGATTATGGGAACCAGTTCAGCGATGGGAAAAACAGATCAACCAAGGTGCTAACCAAATTGAAGGCTCTTGAACAAAAATAACTCAGAAGGTAAACTTTTGTATTACAAAGATTGAGCTTATTGGAAAAAAAATTACAGAAATGAGCGAATTACTACAGACAAGTGAAATGGAAGCCTTTGTAATACATCTTAGTACATATAGAGAGATGTAATTAATTCATGAGCCATTTATTTCAAATATACACTTCATTAAAATGGGGTCAAAAACAGGCAGAAATGCCAGCAGCACGGGTACTCCAATGGTGAGGAAGATGTAACCGGTTTGGGGATAAATCCCCAGATTGCTACTGTTTAGAAATTGAGCTTCCAGCAGATACCAGTGACTCAATTTACTTCTCAACTCATGAGTGGAACAGTGGAAAGCAATGCAGTAAAATGAAGAGTGTATTTTTAAAACACAGAAACACTTTTTATGTGCAGGCTACCTGATGTGCTGATGGGATGCTAAAAAAATCCTAACTTGTGTAGGCCAAATTAAAAAAAGAAAAAAAAAGAAAAGAGATGCTAAATACTATTCATACGTTAATTCAGGGCCCCATTTGATTATGCCACCATTTTACTTCAAGTGCAAAGACTCAGGAAATTTCAAAAGGTTCTATTTCCTCCAGAAATATGTAGGTTGGTGGAGCATTAAAGATGCAAAAAAATCACAAATATAGAAGATTGATTTTCAAGGTTCAATGAAACTTTTTAAAAAAGGCAGTCCAAAACCAGGGCCAAATCACATGGAACTTTCCTTGGTTTTATTAGGTAAGTTTAGAATGCAAAAGAAAAAACTCTTACAGATTCCAAATAAGCTCACTAACATTAACATAATGAGTAATTTATTAAATCACTTTCAGTAGCTAAAAGAAGCAAAACAATGTACTTCCGATGGAAAAACCATACTGTGTCCCGAGATGGCCAATTCTGCCCTCACAAATTGCACAGACTCGAAACATGAAGATATTGATGGGTTTGGATTTTTCCAGTTCCTGATGGCAAAGTGCTATTTGTACTGTCACAGCAAATGCTTCTGAGTACTAGAGCAAAGCTTGTAGCACCAAGCCTAAATTGCAAGATATCTTTGTGGGCTATGGAGGTAGTTCGTTAGGTAGACACCGCAGAAAAACTACCCAACATGTCCAATTTTACATTACCTCTAAAGAGAAAAATCCATGGAAACAATCTCCACATTGGAGAGAAACAGGAAATAGAAAAATACCCTCAGGCAACACTGTGGCTCAATCTTCACGATGAGAAGATAACTAGATTGCCACCGTGATAATCATGAGGCCAAACCACAGTGACAGAAAGCACGAACGTAAAGAGAAAACGAAAAATTTAGTATAAACAACTCAATCCCCTTTCTTTTGCCTCCTGCCCTCCACCCTCGCCAAAAAATATGAGAAAGCTTAAACCTTCAATATGCTCCTTGCTTTTCGCATATAAAACTCTTGGAAAGGCCCTCTGGGTCAGATCCTGCAATTTAGGGTTTGTTGACCACGTGCATCCCAATTAAAAGAGCATGAGAGATGGAGACGAGACAGAGGTTACAAGGCTACATTCTACACTGTGACAGGACACCAAGACAGACTGTGTCAGCTCCTACCTGGAACATGGAAATGTTTAGGGGCCTGAGCGTAAGTTGGAGTTAGAGGGCGGCTGTCTGGCCGGTAAGGGAGAGGGGAGTTCCGGCCGCTGGACGGCTCATTGCCTCCAATGAGAAGAATGGAGAAAACAAAATGAGAAACGGGAGAGCAAAAAAGAAAACAAAGCAAAAGCGTAATCAAAACCTAAGACAACAAACTGGAAGGAGGTACTTTGAAAAAGGAACCAAAAGAAACAAAATCAATTCATCAACGTAGTTCGCAAAGGTGATTACCGGGTTTGGTTTTCCAAAAGAGAGTGGAGATCAAGTGGAACCAGGTTAGAAGCAGCTAGCAGTTAGGTGCGTCATTCCAATGGCATGCGGTTGGAGGCTATGAGCTAGCGGCAAACCAATCAGATGGACAGGGTAATAAAAGGAATGGAAAGTCACTTGCTAATGATTCAGGATCAGCTGTCAAATGGTTAAATCACAAGCATGTAAAGGGGTGGGCTAGGCAAACCCAAATACAATCATTTCCAGGCATGGGGGCAGAGGCTAGCAATTATATTTCTCTGAACTGAAGGCTAAGTCTGGGGACCTGTGGGGTCACCCAGTCCTTACCCTTCGTAATACAAAATGGCTTCTTTCCAGCATGTGTCTGATTTTTGTACTTTGAAATACGCAAGATAGTCGGAACCCTTTCTGTTAGATACTTTGGAACCACTTATACTTCTCTCCATCTTTCTTTTTAAAGATAAGCACCACCCCTAGTCAAATAATTCAACCAATTAAACATTTACTGAACACCTACTGTGGCTGGGCATTGAGCTATAACTGAGGATAAGTAGATGAAGTATGCCTCATTCATTCTCAAGGGATTCAGAGTCTACCTAAGAAGACAGATTTAAGAAAAATAACTCATACCATACAATTGGTCACTCAGTGGTACATGAAAAATGCTACGAAACTCAGCTGAAGGAGCAATTCATTCTTCAGGAAAGCTACGGAGAAGACATTAGACCTGAGCTGGGCATAGAAGAGTAAGTTCACCAGGTGGGTGGGTGGACAGAGGGGTGGGAAGGTAGGTACTTCAGAGGGCTGGAGACTCATGAGAAAGGAGGTGTGGCAGGGCCTTAGTGTGTGGGAGCAGCTGGAGGGACCACTGTGGCTGGACTTCATGGTGCTCTGGGAGGGGAAGACGGGGAAGAGGCTGGAAAGGAGAACTGGAGCTTGGCTGCAAAAGCCTGGAGTGCCATCATAGCCACAGCACTCCCTCCTGGTCAGGAGAACTGCAGGGATGACCTGAGGCGTGTGCAAAACTGGAAAGAGATCAGCTACTGCCCACAATTCCTCCTGCTTCATGTCTGAGCAAACATCTTGTCCCGGGAATACACCAAGAGATGTAGAGCTGTTGAAAGTTAATGAATTAGTAATGCTATTAATTTCATTATTGAGTTGTAAGAGTTCTTTATATATTAATTCTGGATACAAATCCCTTATCAGATATATGGTTTGCAAATATTTTGTCCCATTCTGTGGGTTGTCTTTTCACCCTCTTGATGGTGTCCTTTGAAATACCAAAGTTTTTAATTTTGATAAAGTCCAATTTATCTTTTAATGCTATTTATTTCAAATAAATCATAAATCTTCACATCAGCCAATTTCTTCAAGTCAAACTGTTGTAAATCTGGTCAGCAAACTATGAAAGATGCTGATTGCTAGAGTTTGAAAATAGCATCTTAATAGAGTTTTAATATCTTTTTCTCTCTCTGTGTGTATATATATGTAAAAGGAGCACAGATTTGTACCAATGGGCAGTTAAGATATTCCCAGTATAGGATCAGAATCTGTTGTTGGCTTGAATTTCGATTCCAGGCTTTTGGTTATGGTCTTCTGAAACGTTTATCTTTTCTCCCCCAAGAGTCAGTTTAGCATCCAATTTCCAATATGTTAAAATGTTGACTTTACTCTTTAAGCTGGATATTTATTAGCTTCTAAAAATTACGAAGTCTACTTCAAACTGCTGATTTATTAAAAAGCTAATTTTAAAGAAGTTATCTCATTTCTTATCACTCTCCTAAATAGAAATAACTAGCTCATGTTTGAAAAAATTAGTATAAAAAACACAGGTAAAGGCAAGCAGGGCAGAAGAAGATGGTTTACGTTTAGAAGGAAATCTTGTTTTAAATGTAGGGCTTAATTAGAACTAGATCTCATTCGTCTTTGTGCAGCCAGTATTCAACATAGTGCCTAGACAAGAGTAAGTGCTTCATAAATGTCTGTGAATGAATGACTGAAATAAGTCAACTAATTTTGCAGCTACGTACTGGCCTAATTTAGCAAGCACCACTACAGGATTAGCCATTGTCTCTCTCGGATCTTGTAATCAAAGGAAGCCAGGTGCTAGTACACAGGACAGGATCATAATAGCAACCCCTTGTATAACTTTCCCATTAGAGTTATGTAATCCTCAATAACTCCAGTTTAATCGTGTCCCTTAAGAAGAATTGCTTACGCCTAGAAGCACTAGAAATGATTCCAAGAGAAACTCATATTTGAAAAAAGGAATAATTCTTGTGGGCTACTCTCAAAGAAGATCTACTGAGTCTCAACCTGTCTGCTTCATTTTAGGATGTCTTTTGAAGAGTCTTTCTGGGTATCCCGAGCACTGGCTGCTCCTGCTTCTGAATCACACTGTTCCCTGGCCTTCATCCTTCACCTCCAACTCTGCTCTACTTTGACAACCTCAGATATTTCAGGGACATGTTCTTCCAGGTTTTGGTTATTAATCCCCAATCAGATGAAACACTATTAAATTTATTTTGATAATTATTAGCCAGTGTCATGGACACCCAAAAATACCTGCACATGTGGGACACAAAGGTTTAAGGCTATTGGAACTAGACATTTGTCCAGGTATTGAAGTCTATCAGTGAGAGTCTTTGCTGGGGAGTGGCAGTGGGAGGTGGGAGGCCAACACTTCTCTGATGTGGTAAGGACACTCAAAGGCTGCAGACGAGGAGTTGAGTCCCCACTGGGTGAACGCTGGCTGAAGGCTGTTACTAGCTGGGTGCACAATCACATGATTCTTTATTTGGTTGTGTATCTTCAGCAACCGTTGACATTTCCAGCTGCTAGAAAAAACCACCAGTATACTGGAGTCTGTGTAGATAGATTTAACACTATAGTTATTTAAAACCTTGCCGCCAAACATTTTAAAATATCAGGTAAAGACAGACTCAGAAACACACCCATCTCTGTGACTACACAGTCTGACTCCACACATCACACCAGCTCCCTGGAGAACAAGGTCTCTGATAGATACTATTGCCAGGTACCCAGATCTTAGCCTTTTGAATGCCAAAGTCAATAATTTTTTTTTTTTTTTGGTATTTTTAAAAGAAAAATTCTTGAACATTCTCAAAAGCTTCTCTCCCTTTTCTAACTGAAACGTCCATTTTAATAAGTGATGAAACTTTCTACTCTATCCTGCCAGAAAATAACTGATGAGGGTCGTAAAAGGTTTTTGTGCTTAGTTCATTACTCAGACAAAGGAATATATGGGGCATCAGATGAAATAGCACATATCGAAGGTGTCAACAACATCATCATCACCACCATCTAGCAGCCCAGAGTAAGACATTGTTTAAAAAGAACATAATAGTGTATATAGCACGTAACAGTGTACGTATCACACTTAGTCATTTTGTTCTTTTAAGTAGGTCCTCGTGTTGGGCCACCCTAAGCTGTTAGAGATCTTAGCTATCATGTGGCAAGAACCTATCCTTTATATTTACTTTTATATTTCTTGGTCTTCTTTTTTATCTCCTTCCTTATCAGTCTAATAAGCCAATATTTTAGTCCCTGGGAGCTCATACACTTGCATTTATAGGGTTCTCACTGCATTAATGACTTCAAATGCTTTGTCCTCACTTTCCTTCTGTTTGGTACCATGAACTTAAGTGACTAATCCTAAGACACGTGAATGGCAGTGGCTGAGTATGCAGCTGCTGTAGAACCTGCTGGAGCATGGTTGAGCCTTCTGGACTCCGAGAGTTTATGTTCCAAAACATAAATGAGTACTTTGAGGGAAGCATCTAGAAGTTTGTGACAGTTTTAAGGTTGCCAGTTCTTGTCTAAAACTTCAATAAGAGTTATGGTATCCTTTAGCAAATGTCAAATACATATTTGCATCATAGCAATACATATCTCTGGCAGAACAGGGACAATTCCATTCAAAGAGACTTAATATATGTAGCCCTCCTGCTCATAAATCTAATTTATACTTCATGGACACAGAATGTAATGTCTAACAGTATTTCAAAGGGGAAGGAAGAGAAACTCAGCAAACACTGCACAAACAAAACCAAAACCAAAATGGAAATTGTGTGTCTAAATCTCTAGGCATGCACTGGATCCAATGGTCCCACAATGACATACTGACAGAGAACGAGGCTGAAAAGAACAGTCAGAGAACAGAAATAAAAACACAGCCAGAAACAGGATGGACTTTATAGAAAATGGATGTAGAAGCAAAGAAAACCAAGACACAGCCTTGGGATATGTGTCTCAGCCTTATACCCATGCAAGCATCCTCAGAGTTCAATGAACCGTGGGGCCTGGGCAGACATGCATCAGAAATAAGGACCAGGAAGTGGACGTGGGCAGTGTAAGGCCAGGCTCCCAGCTGTCAGAGCAGCTAGGGCCCCATAGCTCAGTTATATACCCAAGATGGACATCCTACACAGGGGTCCCCAAGCTCCCCAAGCTCCCCAGCTTCTACTCATGTTAAAAATAACTCCCCCAAGATCACAAGACAAGCTCCAGGATACAAAGTAAATGTTCAAATGAAGGGCCAGGAAAACCCTGGAGATTTGCCCCGTTTTAAAGGTATCTTAGCTGGGTTTCTTAAATGGCCATAAGTTCCCTCTGTGCTGAAATTTCCAAGCACTGGAAAGGGCTTCTGTGTAAATGGTTACATGTTTTTTAATATAACTGAGAAGTAATTCCTTGGAGAATCAGTATTTAGCCATTTGACTCTATTGTGCTTGTTATGCAATGTCTTTATTGCACAAGTTCTCCGTGAATTTATTTTACAGTCTAGCAAAAACTTCATCTGATTTAAAAACTAAGCATATACCGTTACATACTGATATTTTGTATCTGAAGTACATCACCTATTCAATACAAACAAACAACTGGCATATGCCCAGTAAAAAGAAAATGGAAGACAGTCTATTAGATATTTCTTCAGAGTTAGGCCCTGGCCATATGAATTTGTCTTGGCTGAATGCTTCTATAATGTAAACCCACAATATTTAACTATGTCAAAAACTTCAAATTTGGGCTGAAAACAGAAAAGGATATCTAGCTACATTTTTCATAAAGCATTGTTGGGGCACACAGAGGTACTGTAATTTTCATAACCATTTGATAATTTCTCTTGAAAAGTAAAAATGTGTTATTTTGTAATTTAAGTGATTTAAATTTAAAATTAGCTGTTTATCTTAATTCTCAACGAGAATGCAATTTTCTCGTTAAAAGCAGATGGGAAATAAAAGTTAGCGCCTAATATGAAGAGGAAGCCCCGGTGGTGCAGTGGTTAAGAGCATCTTTTTGGAGTTCGAATCCACCACCTGTTCCTTGGGAACCCTATGGGACAGTTCTACTCTGTCCTATAGGGTCACTATGAGTCGGAATTGGAAGGAGCACTTCTGGGAAGAGAAGGTCTGGGTTCCAGTTCAGACGCTGCCACTTCCTAGTTGTAAGCCCTTGGCCAGGCCTCTTCACTGGGGCCTCAGCTTCCTCCTCTCCTCCCTTGGCCTTCTCCACAGGGCTGCTGTGAAGAGTGAATGGAATGGGAGCAGAAAAGCACATGCTGACGAGGAAATCAGGGGCGGACGTAAAGTGAGTGCTTACTACACACAGGGCACTTTACCTCACACGCCCCTAGTGACCTAGGAGACAGGTATCATCCTTCCCATTTAACAGATGAGAAAGTGATACTCAAAAGGTTAAGTAAACAACCTAAGACCACACAGCCAGCAAGTGACAGAGATAACATTCAAACCTGGGGCGCCATATTCATGGACTTCCACCTCTGGACACGGCTGCTCACAGACACCGGTATTGTTAGTCATGGATGTTTTGTAACATGTTATCTGGACAAACTTTGTATAACTTTACTGGGCACATGACATTTTTCATTCTACAAAAAGTACCTCTTCTGAACCATGAAACATACAATGACAAAACGTGGAAGTTTACATTTTAATGAATTAACAAATTTATTGTCTCTTCTATTAGAAATACTCAAACAAACAAAATCTTAATTTGGCCGAGGGCTTCTATATTAAAGTCTCTTTAAAATATACTTGTGAAGTTTCTTCAGTCATTTCCTATGGTTTTATAAACATTCTCTAAAGGACCAGCTTGAAATTTAGACAATAGAGGCTTTTCCCCAAAATACTAATTAGTAATAATCTATCAACAATAGTTTTCAGTCATCTGTCAAGACTTTTAGAAAGTGCTGCGCCTACTGAATGAAAAAGACTGATCTCTTTGCGAATGGCAAATGATGTGTATCTTCAATAAGCATGTCAGCAATATTATTTCCAAAGCATAGAAAAATGCTGAAATAGCACATTTGTAAAGTAACTGCAGACTGGTAAGTGCAGTACATCTATTTTTTAGGACACAGTTGCTCCACAATCCAAGTGAGCAAAAAGAAAATCACTTGGATAGATTGCAAATGAAAGTTCAGGAAGATAGAACAACACTGAGACTACTCACTGGGTGCGTTAATGATGTTAGCGCTTGGAACACACGGTTGGAATCCTTTAGGACTGTTCTAAGACCCAGGGCAACATCTGTACTTGCCGCCTACTCCCTCTCTCAGCTGTTTTTATTGGTTAATTTGGTTCAAATGAAGACTACGGGGAAAGTTTGCATCTCTCTGGGAGTTTATACTTAAGTCATGGTCCCTTTAGAACTTCTTTAGAGCTCATGGCTCCCCCAGCACATGGAGGGGCACAAAAGCCCTGGTTGAGAACTGCCACAGAAGCATAACGGACAATGAGAAAAACAATGGGGATGCCATAAAGGGAATGGGATACAATGTGGGGCAGGCTAATTTTCCAGCCCGCCAAGGGAACAGAAAACAGAAGGCAAAGTCTCCCTTCTCTATCGTGTGGCAATCAGGACAAATCCAAAGAAGACCATTGAAGAGTTGGCTCAAAGAGAGAAATTTAAGTTACAGTTGAAACAACCGACTTCTTGGTTGCCATGGGTCTTTTTATGTCGTCCAGACTTGTTAATATTAAGTAGCTTCTCACCATCAAGATGTTTGGATATTTGTTGTTAAACACTGTCGTGTTTGCTGAGACATATCGCACAATAAAACCAGGAAGAAAACCCAGTTATGTATCATATTTTGCTTTTGATGTATACAAAAACAAAATAATAATATGTATTTTTCTAAGTGGTAGATCGTACATCTTATAGGCTTAAATGTACTTCCTGTTTCTTCATCTAGAGCCTTTAGAAATGACATATTTCTCCTAAGGAGAGATGCTATGCCAGTTCTAGGGCACCACTGGGTATAGTCATGACACACGGCAGGCATGCTGAGAGGTCAAAAGCTTGGAGCTAACTCTTGGAGATACACCTTATTAGCCTTCCCAGGGTGCTAATAAATCTCCACTATGCAGGACGCTGCCTGGAGAGGCCTGACTCCTTACCTTTGATATAGGGAATGAAGTGGTGTCGGAAGGGGGAGTTGGGGCGGGAGTCACTGTGGGTGGAGCTGAGGCTGCTGGTGCGCAGGTAGGACAACCTCTGCACACCAGGAGACAGCAGCTCTGCGCAGCAGGGAGTCAGGGGCAGGGCAAGGGGAAAACAGAAAAGAAGAACAGAAATTAACACAGGAGCAGGGACACCGTCTTTGTTCCAAGGAAGAAAAATAAAGAACGTTAATCAGGAGTCTGAAAAGAAGGAAGGAAAAGGGTTAACAATACACTGGCTAAGGGTTAGGCAGAGGCGGGGAGTATTTACAAATAGGTTCAGGTCAGTACGGATTCACTCTCTGAGAATAAATGGCTTCCTTAAGAAGCAATGATTTCCAGAACATGGTGTCAGAATGATGCCAGCCACTGGGGAGCCAGTACTGGGTGTCATCATTTAGACACAACAGCTGTTTGTTAAAGAAACCTGAAAAAACAGAGCCCTCTGAAACCCATGCGAAAAAATGACCGTCACTTCAAGAAACTTGAAAAAGTAGTTCTTCTATGGAAGGGGCAGATTCTTTGCTAAGCGGCCAACCTCTCCCACTGGAAGCTTAATTTTACTTTAGCTATGTAGAAGGAAAACCTGTCCATGCTCCCTGGGCAGCAGAGAGCCACTCATGATCCTAAGACATATGTAGCAGTAGCACTGGGGACTTAGAAACTTAGTGAATCTTGGAAGAAGAATGGACCGTTAAAACTAATACAGACCTAGGGGATCTGAATCATCATCTGGGATCTAGAACTTGGGGAATAGATACTTTGGGGTGTTCTACAAAGACTATGATTATGTCATCAGAACCCCACCAGCTTCTCTTTGGAAGGGTGAACCTAAAAAAAAAATTATACGTATCAGTATCTATCTATCTAAACTCTTATCAATCAGCATCACGCATATACAGAAATATATCATGAAAGGAGAAGTGGAGAAGTGCTTAGAACGGGAAACATTCTAAAGGCTATTGAAAACAGAACCATGACCAGAACAGATGCAAACTTTGCAGTGCTCACTGTGGACATGGCCTTTTGGGGGGAGAGGCGTCCCTGACCGACCACTTGCCCACTATTCAGGAATCTCTGAAACAACAACATCCCTGTTCCCCCACGCCACCCTGACAATGCCACGGCTGAGGTCTCAGTGACCTCAGCATAAATCCTGGGGTGGCCGCATGGAATTTTTCATCACCCAAATAGACAAGGGCTCAAATCCAGACCCACGCCCAGGACATCGATAAAATGATTATAGTTACACATTAAAAAACAAAGAATTTGGCCCCTCAAAATTTCACTTAATGTAATTCATTAAATACTGAGGAAATAGTTAGGAGCCTAGAGAAAAGTTGTTTACTGGAAGATCAAGTAGGAAGAATTCAATCCTCTCCAAGTATTAGATCTATGGCTTTAAAGAGAACATTGCAGCCTTCTTATATTCTGTTAATTTCCTTTGGTTTTATCTCTTATACATTTTATAAAACCACTTAGCATGTGAATGGTTTTGTCCTCATGAGACTGTCTAGGAGTTAAGAAGCTTAAAATGAAGTCTTCATAGATGCACATAATCACCAAGTTTGTTTAGAAAGCCACAGTCTTCCTTTACAAATCTATTGCTCAGGGAACCTTGAATCTGTGCTGGGATCTCTGTTCTCCTCCTCTACATACGAGGCCCTCACTAAAAGCAATAGGGGCCAATTTCTGTGCAAATACAGGTCAAACGAAGTCCATTACTATTAGATATTTTCTATTGCAGTATATTTCTGAGATATATGTAAATATATGTTTTATAAGTCTGATTCAAAATTTTAGGGTTGGAAGGGATCTTGAAAGTTATCTAGCACACCACCAAAGACTCCGTCTAGGAGGTGCTTAACCAGCATGTTTTGTAACACCATTTATCCCTGGATAAGGGAAACATAATATATCTGTCACCAGATGGCTAATACTAGATTTTAGATGGTGCTGATATGCCTAAAAAAGTACATCAAAATATTTTCTCTTGGAGAGCTTCCATTTAAGTCTCAAAGTGATGAGATTCTCTTCAAGCCAAACAAAACAAAATTCCCCTGCTTCCACAAGTAGTCCATTGTCAAAACATAATTCTCTTACAAATCATAATGAATATAACTATAAAATGACTGATGTTTCAAGAAAAGATATAAAATATAGTTGAATATCAGTTTACATTTTTTTTTTTTTCTGGGGGAGAGGCAGAAATATTTGGCAGACAGATTTTTCAGTACAGTATCAGTGGTGGGGGACAAAAATCACAAAGGAACAGAGATTATGATATGGAGTGAATCGTGGAAACGGAAACAGGTGCCCTTACCAGGCCTGTGAAAATGCTGCGGAGAACGAGATGTGGTTGGAGTGTAACTATGCCGGCTGTACACAGGGGAGTTGATGGAGCCCTGACTAGTGGATCGGTGGATCATCCGATCCCGAACATCCTGGTAGCCCTGGAAACAAAGCCCGAGAAAGAGTGAAGACAAAACATACCTGCAGGTTATCATCACTGTCAAGCGAAATTAAGTTCCAGAGAAGCTGCCGAGGAACTACGTTGCCTACTTGTTCCTGCACATATTTAGGACCATATTCCTTAAATATGTGAGTAAATGAGCATCTAGTGGCTAATGCATTTTGCTCAAAATCTGCAGTACTTGTGTTAACTAAAATTTTAAGTCATAAAAATGATAACCTCCAATATCGACAGAGCTGTGAGAAAAGAGGCAATAATTCCAATGACCACTTTTATATTGTGCTTTTCAGTTTTACAAAGTGTGTTTACATACATCCTTTTATCAGATCTGCATGGCAAGAAGGAAGGTAGCCTATGAGATTTTACCCCTTCGCCACCTGCGTAGAGACAAGGTGTCAAGGAGGTGAGTGACCTGTGTGTGGGTGCGTGGTTAGTACAGGCAGAGCACGCTTTGGAACCTGCCTCACTTCTTGTTCCAACCCACCATATCTGTAACAGTCATCTGGTGACATTTTAAATTCTCCTAGAGAACAAGCTGGTCCTGGCCTTAAACCCAGTGATTCTACCTCCCACTTTGGGAAACACATTCCGAGGAAATAATTTAAAATGATCTTTAAAAGGAATAATTTACTTAAGGAGATTTATAGTATCACCCTTCGTGAAGGCAAACATTTCGATTACATGCTCAACAAACTGCAGAATGATTAAGCAAATTATGGCGTATCAATTCAATGGAATACAATCACAACATTAATATCACCTATGCCCAAACCTAGAAAAAAATATATTGGGGAATAAAACACACACACACACACACACACACAATAAAAGTGTTAAAAGAATTGAAAGAGTACAAAGAATAATGTTTTACATTTTAGGAATTTGTTTTCCTATGAAGCTTCTACTAATGCAATAAAAATAAAAATTCTAAAGAAATGTGTAAATAACGACTATAAATTAAAAACCCAGTAACCACAGCTGTGTGAAATGTGAGAGCAAATGGCAAAGAAACTTTGCTTTGTCCTAGTTGGCTATCACAATAAACTAAATAAAAACAACAATAAAACAACAAAGAGGTCCTCAAATGATATGCTTCAACCTTACAATTGGTCAATAACAGAAGTTCACTCTTCATAGCCTCACACATAAATTATAAGAATACTAATAGAAATTAATAAAATCACTGCCTTCTGTCATAAATCGTTAGAATACTGCAGAGATTTTACTCTCTAAAATTACAGGGATAGGCTGAGGATCAGTCTCACTTTAGAAAAGACTCTCTAGAAAGCTAGTTGGCTTTAAGACCAAACTACTGATTCTTGAAATAAAGGAGTGGCCTCCAGAGAAAACAGCTCTGATTACAGAATACACAATGCCCACGACTGGTTATTTCAGATAATCCAGTACATTAGCATTCAGATGAATTAATTGTGGGTGAGAGGAGCCACATTGGGACAAGTGGCTTCACTCATTGCAAACCCTTTCCCACCACTCAGAGGTACAGACACAGTCAGTGGAAGGCTATTTTCATCCCCTACGCTATGAGTTGGAATTGACTCCATAGCAGTGTTTTTTTTTTAATTTTTATTTTTCAATGCTGTATTTTACAGGTAAGTACTCCTCACATTCATCATAGTTTTGCAGAGTTTATTTTATTTATTTTTTGGTTGTTGTCGTTCTTCTGTGTTATGTTCTTTCTCAAAAATTCCTGTGTAGGAAAGTTGCAAGCAACCCCCAAATTCCACCCACTGTAATTTCCAAAAATGGTACTTACTTCTGCTGATGGAGTAGGGGACAAAGTCCTTGGAGACTAGAAGAATAAAAGAGAATTTGAAGTTACCACTTTTATTAGCTCTTTACCAGTTTTAATTAGAATTGACTGCCAGAATCACCTGGAAACATTATGCAAAATGCACAAGCCAGCATCCTCACACAGCTTCTAATTCAGTCTGTGGGGGAGGGGAGGGGTCCATTTACTACTAAGAGTTAGTGTCTACTGAAACACAGGATTTTGTGAACAGTATTGCTGACTTCATTATAACCACAGCAATCACTGAAAATGGTTTGATGACAGGCATGTGGCATCTTGCCTTGGCCGCCTCACCAACCTTACAACCACTCACCCACCAGCTTCTGTCCTTCCAGGCACACAGGCTTCCCAGGGCCCATCATCAGGCCAAGATCTCCCTTACCTCAGGACCTCCGCACATGCTGTTCCCTCTGTCTGCAGTGCCTTTTACTGTGACACCGGCAGGGCTCACCCTCCATCTTTGGTGAGGTCTCTGCTCCAAAGTACCACCATGCAGCACCTTCTCTGACCGCTCCCCCAGCCCCCTTCACGCTTTCTCCTGACTCTGCTTTGTTCTTCCTCAAAGCACTTATCACCACCTAGAACCACCTTACATAGTTGGGCAGGGACCTCACTCACTTACAACTATGAACTCCCAGGGACTAGAGAGGGTCCTGGCATATATTAGGGGCTCAACTAATACTTTCTGAAAGGATGGATGAAATATTATAATTAAAATGCAAAAAGCCTTCAAAGAGAAATGAAATGTAAACAAAGACTTCTGGAGAACCCCACCTGCGGTGGATGTCTCAGTTCCAGAATTTTCTCCTTTCCCCACATTCACAATGAGCTGCCAGACTCTCCTATGCCCCAGAATTACTCAAGAGCCTTTTTTTTATCTGCAGCTACTACATGTCTCCAGGGCATCTGAGCCATGTAAAGACGGGCTCCCTGAGGGCAGGGGCCAGGTCTGCCCTGCTCCAACACCACAGTTCTGGACCCACCACTCACACTTCCTGAAGACACACATTGCTACACAGAACTTCAAGCTTCTCCTGCAGTGTTTCTAAAATGACAGCATATGGATTCTATGAAAGTAATCCATCACCTGTCTGTCAGTTTGCTGCACTGTGGTGGCTTGCATGTTCCTGTGATGCTGGACGCCGTGTGACCAGTATTTCAAACACCAGTAGTGTCACCCATGGTGGGCAGGTTTCAGCAGAGCCTCTAGACTAAGACAGAGTAGGAAGAAAGGCCTGGAGATCTACTCCCAAAAATTAGCCAATGAAAACTTGATGGATCACAACAGCTTGCTTTGGACACGTCATTTGGAGCGACCAATTGCTAGAGAAGGACATCATGTTTGGTGAAGTAGAGGCCCAGTGAGAATGACAGAGACCCTTAATGAGATGGACTGCCACAACAGCCACAAGGATGGACTCGAACAAGCCAGTGACCGTGAGGATGATGCAGGACCGGGCAATGTTTTGCTCTTTTGTACATGAAGTTGCCATGAGCTGAAGTCGACTTTACGGCTAACTATCTATCTAACGAACAAATCTTAATAACTAACAGAAAAATAACTGAATAGCTTGTAAAGTTATCTAAGTAGTAACATGCATGTGTTGGGCAATAGTTCACTAACAGATCTGATTTCTGATCCAAGGGACACCGTCCAACGAGATTCTATGCACACGCAAAACAAGAGTTCATTGTTTCAGGCTATGACAGTGGTGATGGTGATTCTGACAGCAGCCAGCATTTTTGTTGAGCACTTATTATGTGTGCCAGGTACTGTTTTAATCTACATATCTCATTTAATCCTTATAGAAAACCTATGAGGTAAGTATTATTATCTTGAGTTGACAGATAAGGAGACTGAAGTATGCAATTTTTCCAAAGTCATATGGTTAGTGTCAAAGTCTAGTTTCAAGCCCAGAAAATTTCACTTCAAAGCCCAAGCTCTTGAGTACTGCGATGTTTTGCTGCTCAGAATAGAACTTCTAGGAAACACAACACACACACACACACACACACACATGCATGCACCTCATTACACCATCAAACAACTCACCTCCCCTGGCTTGTATGGCTTGAGCACTAGAAAATTCTTGGCCACCTTCTCTAAGACCAGCCCTTTGCACCTTAGTTCAGGAAACTCCCCTTGCCCTCTGATCCCTAGGAAGCTCTCTGGTGCTCTGTGGCAACTGAACAACCCAGGGGAATCAACCTGCGTTGAGAGTAGCCGCAGATGCAGCTACAACTAAGTGACCATCAGGTGGCACTGCATGAAAACAAATATCGCTTTCTGCCCAACGGAATGTTTCAGTGCAGACCTACGCTATGAAACAGAACCCAGATTAAAAAATAGAAGAACTGTATATATAAATTTAGAGTAAATGAAACAGAGTCACACATGTTCATGCCTTTTCTTTAATCTCATTTAAGACCTCAAAGCACTATGGGAAGGTCTCTTGCAGCCAGTGGATTAGAGTCTGTTTCAACCTCGGCTGAACAGCTGATTTCAATCCACTACCTGGGTAACAGCTCTCCTGAGTAGATTCAAATCAGTTATAGATGATTCCAATTTTTGAAATAAAAGGGAAAAAATGTAACATGCGTTGACAAGACCCGGGGAAACAGACCAGAGTCCACTAGATCTGAGTAGGAGGATGGTAGCAGGAAACTCCAGCCCTGGGATGGGGGTGGGGAGGGGGGCAGCAAGGGACTAAAGAGGCTCTGGTCTGGCAGCAGGCTGGATCTGATGGCTGAGCATTAATAGGCCCCGACAGGACAGGTAAAAACAACAGTATCTGACACTTGCTGATTGTTTACACAAGTCTGGCCCTCTTCCAATTGCTTTACATAGGTTAGTTTACTGAATCCTCTCAAACGCCCTACGAAGTAGGTTCTGTCATTATCCTATCCACTTTGCAGACGAGGAAACTAGGATGAGAATAGTTGTCACATGGCCAGAGTCACACAACCAGCATGTGGTGACCTCTGGGCTGAGCCCAGATAATTAGATTCCAGAACCCTGGCTCTTACCACCATGCTATACTGTTGCCCCCTTCTCTGTGTGTTTTCTTGCACATTCTGTCTTAAAATGCTGAAAACTGATGCTGTCAAAATTGAGGATGTGCTCTCTCTCCTCATGGACCACCATAAACATACTTCCAGCTTGCCCATGACCAAGGCCACCTGGAAGACCCTCCCTCCTTTATTCACTCAGAGAGCTTTCCCTGACGTCAGCTTCCGTCTCAGCATGTTGGCTCCGCTACTCTACAACCTGGTACTGATGCATATTTATCCTTCACTGTTGGATAGGTGGTAGTCTCTGGCAGGTGCAAACAACTGACATGCTCGGCTGCTAACCAAAAGGTTGGAGGTTTGAGTCTACCCAGAGGTGCCCTGGAAGAAAGGCCTGGCAATCAACTTCTGAAAAATCAGCCAGTGAAAACCCTATGGAGCACAGTTCTACTCTGATACATGTGGGGTTGCCATGAGTCTGAATCCAGTCAAGGCAAGTGGTTGGTCTACTTTCCTCTCTGTAGCCTCCCCGAGGGCAGGGATCTCGTGAGAGGCTTTTGACTACCTCAAAGCACCTGGCGTGGAAGCCTGCAAACAGCAGGCAATCAAAAGGACACTGTGATTTGACTCCAAACAGTAGTTTTTATACATGCGACAAAAGAGAAGGTAATTATTATACAATTTGCAACCTCTAGGAATTTATTACCTCTCCGAGACTCTGTCTCTCCTGTTTATCATCATAGCCCGAAGTGTAGAAAGGCTCATAGGTAATAAGATCTGGACGTTCAATATCATAAATTGCCTTGACCTTGGGAATGGCTGCTAAATCCTTGTAATCCAGGATTTCATTGTCTACTTTTGCCTGGCAAAGTGAAACACAAAGAAAAATTACCGAGCAGTCTCATTTCTTTGGGGGAACTTTTATTAGTGAATTGTATGTCTTGCTTAGAGAGTAAAGACCTTAAAAATAAAAGCCAAAACGCTTTGCTTAGCACAGCCATACTCTTTAGGAAGTTCCCCACTGAGCCATCTATGAATCATGTTTTTTAAAAAGTCACCAAAACCTTATGGAAAAGACTACGTACAATTCCTCTAACAGAGAAGTCTGTAAACCTTAAGGATAATTTCCTAAATTTATTACAGAGAAGGAAAACAGATGGTAAAAAAAATCCTCACAGATGGCAACAAACAAGAATTGCATATTTAATAAACTAAATATTTAAATACCCTTGTGGCAGAATTTAAGACCCCTCAGAACTAGCTTCATAAAATGTACAATTAATCTCCAAATATATGCAAGTTACCTACAACAATTTTTTAAGCCCTGTATCATATTACTGCATTCTACAGGTCTTCCACTTGATCATTCCAATGATGGTCAAATATAAACTTAACTAGCTGAAGTAAAACGTGATTGAGAAGGCTGATCTACAAAAGTGAAAATCAGGTCTAGTAACAGAGATATCACTTAGAATTAGCTTCTATTTTGGATTATCTGCTCTGCTTGTATGATCCACTAACTTACCTGTTCCAGAAGTAGATACTTACATAGATAGTATGACCTGGTGAGCCAGGAATACTGGAGCCGGGTCGAGAATAAATACTCTCAGAGGAGGTCCTGGTAGGCTGCAAAACAAACAGTGTCTCATAAGGTTTCAGACCATGGCTTCAGAATCAAGACTGAGCTGGGTCCCTAAGCATCACTAAAAGCTAAGCCAGTTAGAAAGGAATGATTTGTGATCTTTGTGAATAAGCGGAAATACAGCCTAGAAGGAAAGGTAAATGAACATGAGTGCAATCCAGCTTTGAAAATGTATTTGGGGCTTTTCTCGGGACTTCCCCCCTTCATTCCTTACAAAGCCTCTGGTTTTACCCTCAAAACACATCAAAGCTGCCTATTTTTGTCCATCTCCATTACCAGTACTAGCCCAGCCATCCATCCCTTCACTCATTGGACTAATGCAATGGCCTCCGACGTGGTTTTCTTGCTTTCACTCTTGCCTTCTTCAGATCCATTTGGTACCCAGTGGCCAGGCTGCCTGGTTACACAAGCAGTTAAGCGCTTGCCTACCATCTAAGAGGTTGGCAGTTTGAACTCACCCAGAGGTGCCTTGAAAGACAGGCCTGGTGATCTGCTTCTGAAAACCCTAGGGAGCAGTTCTACTCTGCACACACGGGGTCACCAGGAGTCAGAATCAACTTGACAGCAACTAAAAACAATACTCGGTGGCCTGGGAGATCTTTGAAGAACATAATTTGGATTGCCACGATCCTGCTTTTGGCTTCATTGTCCACTTAGAATAAAATCACAACCTCTAGGGCCTCATGACTTTGCTCCCGCCTTCTTCCTCTCCTACTCCACCCCTCACCACTCATCCTCACTCATGGAACATGGCACACTTCCCCGCCTCAGGGGTCTCAGCCTTCCGCTCCTCTGCCTGGAATGCTCTTATTTATCCCATTCTACTTGGTTAATTTTTTTTTCCTCCTTCATCCTTGGCTTAAATATTATCTCCTCAGAGAGGCCTTCCTTGGATCCAGACTCAGTTCAACCCTTGTTATTTTCTCTCATGGTGTCCTGCTTATTTTTCCCTTCATGAATAAAATTTATAATTACAAATTTATTGGTCTCCTTGTATCATGTCTACCCCCCTCATTAACTTTACTCATGATCTCTGCCATCACAGAATTTTTTCACCACTATATATACCGAATGCTTCGCACAGGTATATAGAAGGCAAGCAATAAATACCTGTTGAGTGAATGAGATGGAATTTATTATTTATAAACAAATGCTCAGTTCGTGGACATTTGACTCATGTTAATCACTTGGATCTGAGCCTAACCACACAAAGAGTAACTGGAGTAAGGTTGGTGGTCTGCTGCTGGAGGAGATGGAAGAAGCTAGACTTTTATGGATATGTTTGTAGGACCCTGAGAGTGTATGGTGGTTAAACGAGTTGGAGGGAAATGTATAAACTAGGATCAACTGCCTCATAGTGCTGCTTAGCATATTCTGGAGAGTTCTGCAAAGAAAACCAAAGGCCCACTCTTAGAAAACATCCTCATCTCTGTGCAATTATTTCCAGGAGAGAATAGTTTATAGTTCTCCATTAGGAATAGGATCTTTTCTTTTTCAGTATTGCTTCTACTGATATTTGGCACCTTGAATATGAGTGTAACTAGGCCAAAAGAACACCTATCAACAAGGATGTTGCTTGACTACGTAATTCACCTCTAAAAGCAAACACACCTGGTCAACTCCATACAGCTATGCTCAGACTCCCTCCAAAATGAAGAATGCAGTGAGAGCCAGAATCAATCATTCTCAGCCAATGTCTCTGGTATCTTTGAGATACCGGGGCAGGTGGAGGTTGGAGAAATCACACTGTGTCCAAGTGGAGGTTAGCCAAGCTCACTGCCTCTAGGCCTCCTCCCCGAGACCTGTCATGTACAAACACTTTCCTTCTAGAGTTACAATTCTCCAATCATAGACATATCTCAATATGAGAAAATTTCCGATCCTGAATAATGCTGAAAAATAAAGAATTCACGCAAGAACACTATTCAAAAAATGGCCAATTCTGAGATCCATTTTCCAATCAAAACGTAGAAGTGGCACAACCAAAATACGACACTCCTTTAAAAAGAGATGTCACCGCTTAACAAAGTTGAATCAATACCTGTCTTTGTGGGTAGTCTGTCAGCTGCAAGTAGCCAGTATCTAATATTTGCCAAAATATCAGAATGAAACCTCTTAAGTAACAGCACAAGAATATTAAAAGCAGCTAACTTTGATAATAATAATAAAATTATTATTACAGCCACTTACTATGTGGCTATAGTAAGCACTTCTCGGGTATAATCTCATTTAATCTTCTCAATAACCCTATGAGGGTAGGGTTTGTTATTTTCAGATAAAAAAGAAAAATCTGAGCTATTTACAGATAAAAGAAAAGTTTGAGTATTCCAAGTCACACAGTTAAGAAAGCAACAGAGTCAGCATTTGAGCCCAGGTACCATAGCTCCAGAGCCCAGACTCTTAACCACTGCACTCATTTTTTTTTTTTTTTTTTGGCTTAGTATTTACTGTTTTTGTTATTTATTTTATTGTACTTTAGATGCAGGTTTACAGAGCAAATAGTTTCTCATTAAACAGTTAGTACACATATTATTTTATGACAATGGTTAACAACCCCACGACATGTCAACACTGTCCCTTCTCAACCTTGGGTTCCCTATTACCAGCTTTCCTATCCCCTCCTGCCTTCTAGTCCTTGACCCTGGACTGTTGTGCCGTATTAGTCTTGCTTTGTTTTATGGGGCTGTCTAATTTTTGGCTGAATGGTGAACCTCGGGAGTGACTTCATTACTGAGCTAAAAGGGTATCCGGAGCCATACTCTAGGGGTTTCTCCAGTCTCTGTCAGGCCAGTAAGTCTGGTCTTTTTTTTGTGAGCTGGAACTGTGTTCTATATTTTTTTCCAGCTCTGTCTGGTACCCTCTGTTGTGATCCCTGTCAGAGCAGTCAGTGGTGGTGGCTGGGCACCACTTAGTTGTACTAGACTCAGTCTGGTAGAGGCCGTGGTAGTTGTGGTCCATTAGTCCTTTGGACTTATTTTTCCCTTGTATCTTGTTTTCTTCATTCTCCCTTGCTCCCAAAGGGGTGAGATCAATTTTTGACCATATTGTAAGGTCAGTGTGACCATTCATTTCCCATCAACATAGCTATGGGACAAACAGGTTGAAAGCAACAGAAAAATATTGAGATCAAACAGCAGAAGTAGTACCTGCTAACTGAAAATATTTTATTGCCACTAGCTTAAGCACTTGGCTGCTAACAGAAAGGTTGGTGGTTCGAATCCACTCAGCAGCTCTGAAGGAGAAGGACCTGGTGGTCTGCTCCTGTAAAGATTACAGCTTAGGAAACCCTATGGGACAGTTCTGTTCTGTCACATGGAGTCACTATGAGTTGAAATTGACTTGACAGCACCTAACAACAACAGCTCTGTAAGAATCTCACGATCACTCACTGTGTTGGGGTGGGCAGCAGAGGGTATGCTGCAGGAGAGTCAGCTGACTTCAGTTATGGGGGTTGCTACAATAAAAGCCTGTTTTCATTAACAAGCATGTAGGACACCGTGTAAGCAGCCAAAGTGCTGGAGCATTGGGGTCTCACACTCATCCCTATTTTTGCCAAATGTGGGTCAGGAAGACTTTTTGCTTTTCCTGTAATGATGCAGCTGGGAGGGGGTCTGAAGTATTTTGTTCTCCTTCTCCGGCATAAGCTGTAAGAATATAGCTGAATAACAGCACGCACACCTGTAGGGAAGGGGCTTTTGTGTTCTCAGTCAGTGATGAAAAACTCCACAGAAAGAAAAGGTTGGCTCTAGTCCTCTATTTTAGTTCAGTTTCAGTCTACCTCCCTTCTTCATTGGATTAAAGTATCCCTAGAGCTATGCAGGCATTCTCTGAAGCATTTATCTTGTTCCATTTGCACGATTAAAATTGTTGGGCTAAAAGGTTTAACAGAGTTGCTCAGCAATTTGAATACTTGTCAAGTATTGTTTGATTCTTTAAAGGTTTTCAGATTTGAATCACCTTCTCCAATTTACATACACCTGCCCTGGGTTCTCTAATTTCAAATGAAATATTTTAGATTTTTATAGTCAGACATTTTTCAAAGTCAAGTCAACTGTTCACCAAATCTGCTGCTGCTCCGACTCCTCCTAGGGTGATCACCTGTGTTCACCATTTGCATCTTCAGACTATCAGCATTATTTAAGAAGTGCTCAAGATGTTCCCTGGAGATGTAGAACCTGTTCTTTATTTCATGGCATTTACCATTGCTCGCTTTTGCTTCACTCTAACCTCCTACCCTTACTATGAAATTTACTTCCACGGGCATCTTGCTTATGGGCTGAGCTACATTCTTGCTTGTCTATTTTCTTACAATGATCCTTCATTATGGAGGCCTGGTGGCGCAGTGAATAAGAGTTCAGACTACTACCCAAATGGTCAGCAGTTCAAATCCATCAGCTGCTCCTTGGAAATGCTCCACGGCAATTCTACTCTGTTCTATGAGGTCACTATAGGAATCGACTTGACAGCAGGAGGTTTTTTTTTTTTTTTTTTTACTCTTGTTTTCCTGTCTATATTGAAATTATGGGAAAACACACTGCTGTATATAGTATAGGAGCCCTGGTGGCGTAGTGGTTAAAGCAATCAACTAACCAAAAGGTTGGTGGTTCGAAACCACCAGCAGCTCCACGGGAGAAAGATGTGGCAGTTTGCTTCTGTAGAGATTTACAGACTTGGAAACCCTATTGGGTTGCTATGAGTTGGAATCGACTCGAGATGGCAGTGGGTTTTTGGTTTATGTATAGTATAATATAGCGGGGTTAAAGGCCGGCTTTGAAGTCAGACGACTTGGCTTAAATCCTGACTCCACTAGTTGTGTGACATTGTATGAGTTTTTTGCATTTTTAAAAACACCCTTGAGCCTCAGTTTCTCCATTTATGGAACAGGAAAGATATTAACAACACCTACTTTGTGGGATTAAATAACAATGTGTAAAGCTCCAAGTACATAGCCCATAGCAATTGCTCAACATTCTCTATGTCCATT